AAGGCGAGGAGCGCCCAGCTTAAGCTCGACCTGGAGGATGTGAGCAGCGGCGCTGCACTGAGCCGGGCATCCAGCGCTAGTCAAGGATTTTCCTTCTCCTTCACTGGATTCACTGCGCCGCCTGAAGATATCAATGCAGACCTCAAAGGGTTCAGTGATGAAGAGAATGGTAAAAATAGACATCTTGTTAAACCTGCTTTTATCACTGCGTACAACAAAAAAAAAAAAAAATCGGTCAACGAATCCTTTATCCAAAAATTTGGGGTTTGGTTACGTGACTCCTATTCTTCTGTTCTGTTCTTTTGATTAATTATTATCGTATTCTTCTTAATTGCTTCCATACATGTTCTCCAAGACCTACCCCTAGTCCTTGCTCTGTTAATCATAATCCTGAATTCCTGTGTACAGAACAAAATTTGAGCTCGCACAACTTAGTTACTAGGTCAGATATGCAACGAAGGTATATTAATTAATTCGGTTTAGCAAAATACATCAAGGGGGAAGTAATATAGTCCTGAATAGTGGGTTAACTCCTGATCACTATGAGTCTATAGTAGGTGAATCTAATGCATGTACTGATCTAATTTGGCATATGTCTATCGTATATGATTAATTAAAATTAAAGGTGTTCTTTGTAGCTTTCCCTCTTAACATAGGTCTGCACAATTGTTATATATAATATTAGATTCTTCAGTGAAAACTTATGTGACTGCTTCTGTTGTTATTACTGACAGCTATCTTCAGGCATACAACTATCCCTGGAAAGAATTGGAGTATTTTCGAGCAGACTTGCAGGGAGATTAGAAAAACCCGAAGGCCCAAGCTAACTCGAAAGTTCAGGACATTTTTTCATTAAAATAAATAACAGCACCATTATGTTTTAGTTACTGATGCATAACTGCAATTTTTAACGAACCTAATTCGATGATTTCACTAGATATGCATAAATTACCAGCTGTGAAATCTATATTTTATATGCAATGAAATGGTTACCTTGCATTTGCACTTTGCAGCAGTTGATCCTGAGGCGGGATGCGATCACAAAAGGATAATCATTGAACCAACCTTGCCAATTTATCTGAAGGTAATCTTCAGCTAGAGGTATCATCTTCAGCTCATCTTGTCAATACAAGATTTTTGGGTTAGCAAAGATATAAAAGGAGACTTGCAGAACGACCCCAATCCATGAGCATAGTCATCTTTTCTCAGAGGAACTTACTGAGAAGGCTGGGGTCCGAGGAAGTCTTCTGAGCTTGTGAACATCCACGAGCTTGAATAAGTTGTAGTTTAATTTATATACTGAAAGGTATTTCTATTGCCTCCTCTTTCCTTCTTTCACATTTTGCAGTTTACAGAGCTTAAGTACAAGGTTATCATCAAAGGCGTAACAACAACAACTGAGAAAGATATACTTCACGGAATTACAGGTTCTGCAAGTCCTGGAGAGGTTTTGGCACTTATGGGACCATCAGGTAGTGGCAAGACAAGTCTTCTTAGTCTTCTAGGAGGAAGGGTTCGTCGCGGCAACATTGGAGGATCCATCACCTACAATGATGAACCATACACCAAATCTCTAAAACACAAGTAAAGTGTCCAACACCGTGTACATAGAAATTGGCATGCTATCTGCTGCTACATTAGTTCTTGGCATCTTTCCTCCGAGACTGTAGTATTTTTCTATGTTCTGGAAATTTCAGTAGATTTCCTTCTAGTTACAGGAACCTAACATACAGGCTATAAAGTATATCCCCGTAACCACACTGCCAGACTTTTTGTGCCGGACATCATTGACACTGACTGGGAGGTGACTTGGCATCAACAACTAAAACAGCTTAAAGTTAAATATATCCTTACAAATATGTTGATAAACTAATAAAGAACTAGTGGGAGGGATTGCTTGATCACAACTGAGATAGCAATATAGGTTAGAATGAGTTTCAGCTAATAGGAAACTGCAGGGGTGTTATTATGGATGTGTTACGTGATTGTGAAGGGAAAGCCATTCTATCAGTTTAAAGCATTAGGTTCTAATAAAACTGCAATATACTAACAACCACTCAGGTCTCCCAAATAGGGTCATAGTGGGACAAAACTTGCACGGAATTCAATGTCACATGGGTGCGGGTATGGGTGTAGGTGCACATACAGGACATGACAAATTTGTAAAGGTAGGATATGGGGACACAACTATCTATACATATTGAAATTAGTAATTTACATTCGGTCGAGTTTGTTTTTTAAATTTACATATTATGAAAACTAAAATTTCCTTAGCATTTTTATGTTTCAGTTATCAAGTATATAATACATTGGGAAACTGTGTTTTTTAACCATCTTTAAAATCATACTTCTGCTCTAGGAATGGGCTGAAAGGAACCTTGCCCGTGTACAACGAGTTGCAAGAAGTGGCATGAAGTATAAGATACACGTCCAAGAAGTCTATGACAAGTGCTTTAAACTAGAACATGCATTATATAATTGAGTACACGTCTGAATAAACGTACACATATTCAAGGAGTGCAAGGAGTGTCAGAGTCAGGCACATGTTTAGGAACCCATACTAGGTGAAACTCAAGGGGGAATGAGATAAAAATAGATCACAACAAGAATACTCATAAATAAGTAGATAACCAACCAAGAGAAGCTTTTCTCTTTGTTGTCATGAGTTCGTGGTTGTATTGCTGAAGCTAAACTGCTGAGGCTAAATACTAACCATGCCCGTCATAAGGATTAATTTCCTCATTATACTTTATCTAAGAGGTTGAACATATTCCTTCCTGTTCTCTCATAGCTTAGGCTTGTGATCATGGAATTGTTTTCCAAGGTCAAAAGCAGAAAGGATGTAGCTAATAAGGTAGTTCTTTCTTTTCTAACCAAATTACATTATTGTTCTCTTCATCTCCAAGCTTATCTTTCACCAAGTTGACGTAGTTATCTTCCTTAATTGTACAAGTATTGTGCTCGGTAGCTGATACTATTTCAATGGGGAAGTGGTGAGAACAAAAGTATGTTAAATGTAAACATTCCTGCAAATTGATCAATGTACCATTGGATTTTGATGATACTTCAGATGAAACTTATATAAGGGATCACTTGACAGGATAGGGTTCGTGACTCAGGATGACGTTTTGTTTACACACCTGACAGTGAGAGAAACACTAACGTATGCAGCTCGCCTTCGGCTTCCAAAGACGATGACAAAGCAGCAAAAGGAACAAAGGGCTCTGGATGTCATTTACGAGCTTGGGCTTGAGAGGTAGCTTCCCACTATCTGTCCCTTCTTTAGTATATATCATGGATAATGACCAAGTCATGTACAGTAGAAAGAAGAGTGCTCCAGAATTTTCCATGTTTGAAGATTTGATACATGTATCCATGTGCAGGTGCCAAGATACCATGATTGGAGGATCATATGTTCGAGGGGTCTCAGGAGGCGAGAGGAAGAGGGTTTGCATTGGAAATGAGATTATAATGAATCCTTCACTATTGTTTCTTGATGAGCCAACATCAGGTCTGGACTCAACAACAGCCCTGAAAATAGTTCAGGTGCTGCACGAAATAGCTGAGGTATGTTCTGTTAAAGCTTTATGTCAAGTGTCCAGATAGAAAAATTATTCAACTAAGAACAGTGTCATTGAGTTTTTTTTAACTGTAACAAAAACGCTATTTAGATGCTTAGTGCATCCAATATAGAAAGGTCAACATGACATTAGGAAATTAACTTTTCCGCATCAATTTATATACAAATCAAAGAAAGTGAAATTTTATCGCAGCAATAAAGAAATCAAGAACTGTAAGAAGAGGGAAAAAAGAATAAAGAAAGAAACAAGCTAAATTGGAGGCATCGATACAGTTATGCTTACCAGGGGACATGAAAAACATTCATGGCAAACAATCATGATAAATGATGACTGTGATATGCTATAATACATATACATCGGAAATAGATCATTTCGTGTTGACATCTTCATTGTTAAGAGACCTTGCTACATCTAAAGTACTAACTGCAAGTTGTTGAACCTCGACCAAAGTTTCTAGTCCACTGATACCATATTGGATTTGCTGAAATGAAGTAATACTGAACAAATCCTTTTATCTCATTTATCTGCTGTGAGATATAATCATATTGCACCTATCATCATTAACTTATGTAATGTATATCACATCTACCATCAAATTTATTCAATTTATTCCAGTATCAACTTCACAAAACGTATAATTCTCAACCTTCAGGTTTCTTTGACATATCAAAAGATCTGCCTTGCTAAATGGTATGATGAGGTTGTTGCCAGCACATATGTCCCTAATTAGAATAGGTTATAGTCCAATTGGTTGTGGTCCAGTTTCCTTCAAGAGGTACAAAAATCACAAACACACCATAAGCATTATGCATATATTGAGTCATAATTTTGTGCTAATAGAGAAGTTCGGACTTCTGTAAACCTAACTGAAGGCAATTAGGTATTTTTTCAAAACTTCTATAAGTCACGATATTCTTGTCTTATGGCAGGCTGGAAAAACAGTAATAACTACAATACACCAACCATCAAGCAGATTGTTTCACAAATTCGATAAATTGATCCTGCTTGGGAAGGGAAGTTTGCTATTTTTCGGGAAGGCTTCTGAAGCTATGGTTTATTTTTCATCCATTGGTGGCATGAAGTATAAGATACACGTCCAAGAAGTCTATGACAAGTGCTTTAAACTAGAACATGCATTATATAATTGAGTACACGTCTGAATAAACGTACACATATTCAAGGAGTGCAAGGAGTGTCAGAGTCAGGCACATGTTTAGGAACCCATACTAGGTGAAACTCAAGGGGGAATGAGATAAAAATAGATCACAACAAGAATACTCATAAATAAGTAGATAACCAACCAAGAGAAGCTTTTCTCTTTGTTGTCATGAGTTCGTGGTTGTATTGCTGAAGCTAAACTGCTGAGGCTAAATACTAACCATGCCCGTCATAAGGATTAATTTCCTCATTATACTTTATCTAAGAGGTTGAACATATTCCTTCCTGTTCTCTCATAGCTTAGGCTTGTGATCATGGAATTGTTTTCCAAGGTCAAAAGCAGAAAGGATGTAGCTAATAAGGTAGTTCTTTCTTTTCTAACCAAATTACATTATTGTTCTCTTCATCTCCAAGCTTATCTTTCACCAAGTTGACGTAGTTATCTTCCTTAATTGTACAAGTATTGTGCTCGGTAGCTGATACTATTTCAATGGGGAAGTGGTGAGAACAAAAGTATGTTAAATGTAAACATTCCTGCAAATTGATCAATGTACCATTGGATTTTGATGATACTTCAGATGAAACTTATATAAGGGATCACTTGACAGGATAGGGTTCGTGACTCAGGATGACGTTTTGTTTACACACCTGACAGTGAGAGAAACACTAACGTATGCAGCTCGCCTTCGGCTTCCAAAGACGATGACAAAGCAGCAAAAGGAACAAAGGGCTCTGGATGTCATTTACGAGCTTGGGCTTGAGAGGTAGCTTCCCACTATCTGTCCCTTCTTTAGTATATATCATGGATAATGACCAAGTCATGTACAGTAGAAAGAAGAGTGCTCCAGAATTTTCCATGTTTGAAGATTTGATACATGTATCCATGTGCAGGTGCCAAGATACCATGATTGGAGGATCATATGTTCGAGGGGTCTCAGGAGGCGAGAGGAAGAGGGTTTGCATTGGAAATGAGATTATAATGAATCCTTCACTATTGTTTCTTGATGAGCCAACATCAGGTCTGGACTCAACAACAGCCCTGAAAATAGTTCAGGTGCTGCACGAAATAGCTGAGGTATGTTCTGTTAAAGCTTTATGTCAAGTGTCCAGATAGAAAAATTATTCAACTAAGAACAGTGTCATTGAGTTTTTTTTAACTGTAACAAAAACGCTATTTAGATGCTTAGTGCATCCAATATAGAAAGGTCAACATGACATTAGGAAATTAACTTTTCCGCATCAATTTATATACAAATCAAAGAAAGTGAAATTTTATCGCAGCAATAAAGAAATCAAGAACTGTAAGAAGAGGGAAAAAAGAATAAAGAAAGAAACAAGCTAAATTGGAGGCATCGATACAGTTATGCTTACCAGGGGACATGAAAAACATTCATGGCAAACAATCATGATAAATGATGACTGTGATATGCTATAATACATATACATCGGAAATAGATCATTTCGTGTTGACATCTTCATTGTTAAGAGACCTTGCTACATCTAAAGTACTAACTGCAAGTTGTTGAACCTCGACCAAAGTTTCTAGTCCACTGATACCATATTGGATTTGCTGAAATGAAGTAATACTGAACAAATCCTTTTATCTCATTTATCTGCT